GAAGCATCTCTGTGATTCTGGTGTCTCTAGGTGCCTTGGGGGAACTTTTCTGGGAGTCCCTACTTGTAGGTGCATAGCTCAGATGTCTGAAACCCAAATGTCAACAAACTTGCATGGTTTGTAGAGAAGTGTCAGGGGTTATTTAGGCATCTCTAGGTTCTTGGGGGAGCTTTTTATAGGATTTTAAAGTAAAAATGGATTGATGAATCGATTCATCAGAAAAAAATCATAAATTTGTAATTTGTGATTCGTTGACCTTGGTAAACCATGAATCTAAACGAATCACAATTTTTTTCTGATTTGTGCCCATTTCTACTTTTAATACTTAAGGAATGAAACAAACTCCTTGTAGTATCTAGTTAGGCCGTCAACACCTGGATAAGCTTCTGAAGAATCTGAGGATGCCTGGATACAGTAGTTTGAAAAATACTATTGGAGAGTTAATCCAGAAGTGAAAGAATGATATTCAGTGCCATATCTCTGTGCAGAACCTCTCACCGTGAATTGTGTGTCATCTGCACTGAACAACAGGATTTGCACAACTGCAGTGCGTGTCTAAATTAAAGTGGGTGAGCTAAGATGTGAAAATCAATTTCTCTTTTTCGCCCACTTTTGAACTTTTTGAAACCTCAATTTCTTTGTGCCCGATGCTTGCAGGAACATGGGGCTGGGTAAATTCTTGAAAAACAAGCTGAAACAAAATTGTTCCCCACTGGCAGTTGCTAAATGTGATAAACACAGTTACTCAGGGATTTGAGAGGAGTGAGTTGCGGCTGCATGCCATGGAGGCATTAAGGATGAAACGCCTCTCAGGGGTGCAGGGGGTGGGGAAAAGCTGGTAAAATGCTTGAATAGCTAACTGGATAACTCAGTGGGTGAAGCACCTGTCTGTGGAGCCAGGATCAGGAATTTGCTTCCCTGTTATGCCACCTGCAAGAAGAACCAAGGTGTGTACAACGTTGGGCATGTTACATAGTCCAGAGCAGCACCAGACGGAAGGACTGGTAAGCTATTTCTGAGTACTTTATACCTAGGACATTGAGAATGTCTTACAAATCAACCATTGTTGTTTCCCTGTTGTGGGGCAGCCTAAACCCCAATTGAAATGGATCTAGACTATCCATCTCATCAAAGAATGTCTGCAATTGATCAGCCACCCCCCCTCTCAATTAACTTGCCCCCAAACTGAATATTTGTGACAGATCTGTATTTATTTAGATCATCTGTCACCAGATTGTTTCTTCTTTTTCTTAAGAATGGGCTTTTCTATAATTTCTTTTAAGCAGTAAGGCATATGGCCTTCCTGAAGCTTTTCGTTAATAACACTAGTGACCCATTCTATTGTATTTTTGGCAGCATTTAATAGTCAAGATGGGCACAGACCTACAAGAGAGGTGGTAACTTTCCAGCATTCAAGTGCCTTGTCTACTTCCTTAGGTTCATTAATTGAAACAGATCTAACAAACCATGACTAGATGCTGCATTGGACATCTTACTCTGACCTCCTGGACTAAAAGAGGAGTCAAGGACCCTTCAGATATTTTCAGATCTAGAATGGGCTATTATAGGATTTCAGGCTACCCCTCCCTTCATCCTCAGTGGCCATGAAAGCTGGGAATGGAAAGAGCTGTAATTTAACACAGTAGTTTGCAACCTTGGCTCCCCAGATGTTCTCGGACTGCAACTCCCAGAAATCCTGGCCAACACAATGAGTGGTGAAGGCTTCTGGGAGTTTTAGTCCAAGAACATCTGGGAACCCAAGGTTGGAAGCCACTGGTCTAACACATCTGGAGAGCAGGAGGTTGGGGGATGTCCAGGAATCTCAAAGATGTCAAAATACTCAGATCTCTTTTTCCTTCTTCTTCAACTCTTAAAGAGCAAAAAGAGGATTCTAAACTTTCCTGAAATATTTTGGGAAGTCTACAATACAAAACTGCAGTTTTAAATTCCTGTTTATTAAAAAAATTTCCCTATAGGGTAAAACCCCTACCAAAAATGATAAATCCATGTCCTCTGAAATAATGAGAAACATTGCCAGTTCATCCATCAAGTTTAGATGTAAACATGAGATTTTTATGATACCTGTTGAGGCTTCCTTCTTCCCTTTCTGTCTTCAAATTTTTGCTCGAGCCAAAAATCAGTTTTGAGGGTAGAATTATCTTAAGATATCCTGTGAGAAATAGAGACACCCTAAATGTACAGGCACCAGAAGTAGCTGCTTAGAGCAGCAATATTTTCCAAGATGCCAGCACAACAGTGATACAACAGGTTCTGCTCCCTCCTGAAGCATCAGTCCCATCTCCGGATCTCTTATAATGTTTCGCAGCATGCTAGGTGCAAATGCATAGCTCTCAGATCGGGAGGAGCTGCAGATGAACCAAATTCTTACCATCCTCTGTGATACTAATTATCTGCAAGATCCCAAATCATCCCTCTTGAATTGTGCAGCGCAGCCTCTCTCAACCTCCTGTCCCTCCAGATGTTGCAGTCTATGGCCAAAACCCCAAATGCTCAGCATAGTAAATCACACTAGAGTAGGCCCATCAAATCAATAGAATGTATGGAGGAGCTGACTCACTAAATCCCCATTGATTCACTGGGCTTGTTTTGGCCATTGATTCTCTCTCATCAGAGCCAACCAGCACAACCAGTGGCTGGGGATGAGGGGGAATGTAGTCTAAAACATCTGGAAAGTAGCAGGTGGTAGGAGACCAGGGGCAAGTATTGTGGCAGCTGAATGTCTTTGGGCAATCAGAAATGTAAAACAAGAGGCTTCAACCTATTCTCTTTGGTAAGGAAGAAAGAGATGCACTGTCCTGTTGCCTCCAGACATAATACTGATCCTTGTGCTGGCAGATGCACTGACAGCAACATGCACTAGCCATGGCATTTGATGTGGAAGCTGCTGACTCTTATTAGCATTCCCTCACCCATCCATCCGCCTCCAGGGAGCCTTGGTCTTTCTGATAGGAGAGACAAAAGATGTTAGAGCAGGCAGAAAAGCCAAGTAATTCCAGGGACAACCTGCAGAGGGCATCTGGACACTGCACCGTCCTGCCAGCTTGCCTCTTCTCAACATCTCTCCTTGAATCCTATTGCGGACCCCAAAGTAACCGAGACGGTTGCCAGATCCAGCCCCTGAAACTGCGTTGATATGGTTTCTTCCACCACTGTCTAGCAGTGTTCTAAGAGGAAAAGCGCAGTGTAGGAAAGAAGGACCAGTGCAGAGACTGAATGTGGTAGAAGACAAGTGCAATTTTAGATGTTTCAGAGACATAATGGGCTGTGTTCTCAGAAGGCAATAACAGGAGGAACTTGTAATGCTTCGTTTGTAAAATAAGAATACTGTTAATGCAGACCTGGACGCAAGTCCAGTTCTTCAACTCCAAATATGTGGCCAAAAGGCTGCATGTGTTGATGGCTGAAGAAAGGCAGGCCTGTACATGCTCAGAGGCATTGCTATGCATACACACACATTGGATTGCTTTGCTTAGCTAACCTGTGGTTACAGAAAAAGAGATGGGTCAAAAAACACCCCCCCAAAGGAAAAACACAGCAAACTCAAAAGCCGAAAGCTGTATGATGCACCCAAATCGTCATTTTCCTTGGTCCTTTCTCACCTCATTCTTTGCTCCTCAAAGGATACCTGTACCTGTCTTAACATCTTTTTTGAGTCTCTTTCCACCTCACCACCTCTCACCACTAGCATCACTCCAGTGGACTTCCCGTTGTCATGATTTCATGCATCTTGGAAACTTCTGCTGCATTGCACTGCATTGCATTTATTCAGTTTAAACATCTGATCAGTGGTATTTACCACAAGGGGTAGGATGAGACAGGATGCCATAGGGTAAGGTGGGGTTACAAGGACTGTATCACATGGATAACTTCTGCTAGAAACAACAGAACTAGTTACTCTGCACACAACCCAACAGTTTATGTAAAATATGTGTGTTTACTTAATGCCACTATAAAAGCTGCAATGGGTGAAATTCCCTCGTCTGTGCAACTTGTGGTACAGAAAAGCTTGTAGTTCTGCATTCAGTACATGAAAACACAATATGGTACCTAAGCCAAAAATTCAATGACCTAAAGATGTGGAATTCATCCAAATATCTGCCACCGATGAAAGCTTTTTTCATTCCTCTATAAAGGATAAATGAAACAGCTCCTCATTGCAGATATGCCTGTTACACATCAGCTACTGGTTGCAACAACCACTTTTAATGTAAAGATTATTAGTCATTTTTATCGTTTCAGTTCCCCTCTGACCCAATGATTATAATGCCCATGCCCCACTCCACAAGCCTACAGTATGTATAATTATTATCTGCCACTTTAGGCGGGACATGATGCAACTGATGAAAGAGGCTGTAATAGACAAAAGCTTATAACAAATAAAATATGCTAGTCTTAATCTACCACAAGGTTCATTGTTGTCTGGGCTGGATTCAAGAGCTCAGGACATGTGTGGTATACACAAGCACTGTATTACAAAGTCAGGAGGCTTTTGCTGCTGTCCCTCACTATCCGCTTGTCTGTTGCCTTATGGTCAGGCCAGCTCTGCCCTCAATTGCACAGATGATTGCATGTCTGACTATTTAAATCCAGTTAAGGGGCCACTGGGTATCTCTCTCTCTGAATGTACCAATGGTGCTGGGCATGTGGCCCGCCTTGCCCTCCTACAAAGTAAGGTGATGAAGCAGATGGTTCTGATGTCATCAAAATGGAACGGGCATGCTGGCTCACTGCTTGCAGCCTCTGCCATCGTGGCATCTGTGAGGCTGTGTCTCATATTGATGTCTCATTTGTCTTAGTCCCTGTGATGGCAAGGGACTGGCAAGCGCACTGTGCTGGTTAGCCAGTCCATCTGATTGTGTTTTTCCAGTGAGTACAGCATGTGCCTTGGTGGAACAAGCTTCCACCCCTACAGTGCTTCCTACTCAGGCAGAGCTGGCCTGATGGCGCTGGTCTCTAGTCACCCTTTTTAAGGGCATCCGATGGACAATCATGGATCAGTGGACGCCCAATGCTCAACAGTCTCCCTGCCTGAGCTTACTGGGCTGGTCTCAGTGGTGGTGTTGCAGTCTCCTCGCCTTGTTGTGCTGGGGGACTTCAACATCCACGCCAAGGCAGCTTTGTCAGGAGAAGCTCAGGACCTCATGTCCTCCGTGCCGACCATGGGACTGTCGCAAATGGTATCTGCTCCCACTCATGCTGCAGGGCACACTTTAAACAAGTTTTTCTGTACTGGGGTAGATTTTGGTGATCTGGGTACGGGGGAAACTCTCTGTTGTCATGGACAGATCATCATCTAGTGGGCTCTAGACTACTGGAACTTGGAGCCTTTGCAGGGGTGGGGGAGCAATTAAAATGGCCCACCCCAGGAGGCTGATGGGTCCAAATGGTTTCCTGATGGCTCTTGGGGAAGTTTCCTCTTGTCTTAGCAGGCAATCCTGCTGAAGCCTTGGTTGACCTCTGTTGACACAATCACTCCTAAGCATCCCCTCCCATGAGGCAGAGCCAGACTAGCCCACTGGTTTACTGGGGAGCTGGTGGTGATGAAACGAATGGGACGGAGGCTAGAGTAACGATGGAGGAAAACTTGGAGTGAATCCTACCGAACCTGGGCTAGAGCCCATTGGAAGGCCTATTCCATGGCAGCGAAGAAGTCATTCTTCGCTGGCACCATTGTGTCTGCACAGAGTCGCCCAGTGGAGCTCTTCTGGGTGGTCAAGGGCCTCTTTACACCATGGCCTATAAAATAAATCGAAACTTAACCCAGACAAGACAGAGATGTTCCTGGTCAGCCAAAAAGCAGATGAAAGGATAGGGTTGCAGTCTGTGCTGGATGGGGGGGGGGTTTACGCCCCCTCTGAAAAGACAGGTGTGCAATTTAGGGGTGCTCCTAGATTCATCTCTGAGCCTGGGTGTCCAGGAGTGCCTTTAACACAAGTGTGCGAGCTGTGCCTATTTCTTCACGGGTCTGAAGTGGCCACGGTGACACATGCCTTAGTTATATCTCGGCTGAATTACTGCCTTACGCCCCCTCTGAAAAGACCGGTGTGCAGTTTAGGGGTGCTCCTAGATTCATCCCTGAGCCTGGGTGTCCAGGAGTGCCTTTAACACAAGTGTGCGAGCTGTGCCTATTCCTTCACGGGTCTGAACTGGCCACGGTGACACATGCCTTAGTTATATCTCGGCTGAATTACTGTCATGTGTCTACATGGGGCTGCCTTTGGAAAGTGTTTGGAAACTCCAGAGGGTCCAACATGCAGCAGCTGGATTGCTGAATGGGGCTCCACTGGCCGCCGATCCATTTCCGGCCACAGTTCAAAGTACTGTATAGGTTTTAACCTATAAAGCCCTCGATGGCTTGGGTCCAAGCTATCTCAAAGACTGCATCTTCCTCTGTGAGCCTGCCTGGGCTCACAGGTGAGGCTTTTCTCTTAGCCCTGCCATCCTCACAGGTACGCTTGGTGGGGACACGGGAGAGGGGCCTTCTCTGTCTCTGCGCCAAGACCCTGGAACTCCTTTCCTCTTCAGACTGGCTGTCCCTTAATAACTGGTGGTTTGAAAGGGGTTTTTTAATGAATGGTTGTGCTTTCTTTTTAAATTTGTTTTAGTGGTGATTTTATAACCCTTTAAAATATAATACTTGTTTAATTCTTTTTAAATACTTGCATACCTAGTGTTTTTAATCTTTTAAAAATGGTCTTTTTAATGATGTATGCTCCCTTGGGTTCTTTTTAAGGAGAGAGGCAGGAGAAAAATACTTTAAATATATAAATAATAAATAATCAAGGAAGTGACCTCCCTTTTGCAGGATTCTGAAGGATGCAAGAGAGCAAATAATAAAATGCAGATTGACATTTTAAAAGCCTCCAGAGTTTCCTTTTTAAAATAACTAAGATGACCTTGTACAAACCACAGGAAGAAAGGGAGGGAATTCCAGAATTCATTCAATGTGCATTTACAGGTCACTGTTGAGAATGCCTGTTCCCGAGAGCCACAAATCTGATTTAGCTCAATGATGGGCTCGGGAGCAGCATCCCAAGACATTTATCTTAGTGCACAGATTAGCTCTTACAGATGCAGGTGGCCCTTTAGAGAGCCTCAAATGTCTGTAGGGATTTGACTATCAGAGGGGTACATGGCTTCCCCACAATCTTACACATACTTATCATTTGAATGTACCCAGACAACACTGTGTGCTAGTGATGTTCACTATGCCTATGAATTAAGCCAATGTATCACCATGTAGATTTGACCTTCACCTTGGGGGCGGGGGGGGGAAACACCTCCAGACACCCTTGGACTACAGTGCTGTCAGCGGGATCATGATGTTTCCTTAAAGAGCCAGTACCTACCAGTATGGGCACCCAAGGCAGCTCATAAATGGATTAAAATATATGCAAAGAAAACACAATACGGTATATCACGACATTCAAAAACAATTAAACATGTAATAATACGAGAAAGACCGGGAAATTTTAAACACCATAAAAACACCGTTGCAGCTGCATATGAGTCCCCAACACTCATGTAAATTATTGTGACTTTTAAAGGGGACAATCCCTTGTTCACAGAGATACAGAACATGAGGCAGCCTAACAGTTCATTCTGAAGAACAGGGCCATACATGTTTTAATTCCTTAGTGTGTTTACTGACTGAATTCTGTCATTCCCCTCCCACCCCCCTGACTTGGGTGTGAAGTAAGAAGTTGGAAACAGGGACGCAACTTCACTATTGAGCCTGGGACCAAAAGGCCATTCTGTACTTTCAGGACAAACCAGGTCCCAGTCGCCATCTGTACGAGACAAAACTCTTAGTCATTGACAAAAGAACCGAGTTGGTTGCCTTAGAACAGCTTCGTGATCTTCATCTGTGCTGGACCCTCCACTCTGATCCAACACAACTCGGAGTCCCCGTGGGAGGAGAAGTGGCCCTGGGCCTTCAGGAGTTGGTGCTGGAGATGCTCTGTTTGCTTGTATTTAACCTACCCTATGTCAGCACCTCTCCTGGTGAGATACGGCCAGTGATATGATTCTTAAAACTATCTACAACAATATAAACTGTTCAAAGAATTCAGAATGATTTCTTTCTAGCAGAATAAAACCCGCCGTCCAGCAGATCACAAACAAAGCCATGAGCTCACTGGGGCACCAAACATTTGCTTTTTGCCAGGCACCGAAATACCATACTTAAGAGATTCAACTAAGGTGAGGATTAAAATCTTACAAAACCCCAAAGTGCTCATGCCAAGTGCAAACACAATCTCCTTTCTTAGATCACAGCTCCCGGGCTAAACACCAGCACAGCAAAAGTTGACAGCTCTGAAGCATTCGGAATGCTGCTTCAGCAGTTTCAGCGTCATTATCCAGCATCCGCTTCCAACAGCGTATTTTTCACTTTCAATACTGGCAAAAGAAAAGAAGAAGAAGAAGGAAAAAAAAAACCAAAACAAAAGGCAGGATGCTGCTAAAAGAATCTCAGGATTCAAATTCACAACTGGTATCCTGGGCTCCCCAGGATGCAAAGCCTCTTCTAAGGTTGTCCATTGCAAAGTAAATGGCAGGGCTTTAAGCAATAAGGAGATTCATCACCTCCTTAAAGCCCCACAGAGTAGGGTCTGCCAGGCAGCGTTTTGAACACCGAGGACCACTGCAAACCCCTTCCCACCTCTACTCTATAAGATGGAGTTTGGGGAAAAAAATCACACCTTACAAGTAGTGATGCTGTTTGCATTGACTGACTCTCTGGAGCAAGAAGAGGGAATGACATTCAAATATCGGCTGCATTTTATGTTCAGTGCTGGCGTGCTGTTTCTTTTTGGTGCAATGCAAACATGGCAATCATGCAGCCCTTAGGTCTTCCACACTGGTGGGGGGGGCGCGGCGGTGGTGCTAAAACAACAAAAATAGAATTTGAATTCCTTAGGGCTTCATCTTTTAAATACTTCCGAATTCCACCCTGCCCTATCCTCCACCACTGTTCCTAACCTTTTCACCATGGATGTATCCTCCCCGTCCTTTCTAGGTTTTTTTTTTTAGGTCATGGGTAGGCAAAACCCAGTTAGGGGCCCAAATATTGTTCCTCAGCACCTCTGTGGCCCCCTGGCAGCCCCCACAACCCCAAAATGTGTCTAAGAAACAGAGAGGAAGCTCAGAAAGTGCCTTTATACTTTCTCAGAGGCATGTAGGAAATTTGGCCACAATGTGTGCCTCTAGCAGCCCTTGGTCTGCCCCCACATCCCCCAGATCTTCAAATATTTCTTGGTCACTCAGAGGACAGGAGGGAGCTTTTTCAATACCCCCATTCTTCAAGGGTTTTTTTTGGGGGGGGGAATGAAGACTATGGGAATGGGTGTGGGTCTCCCAAGGTAGACCTGTGCAGCCCAGGGACCCCTAGGAGCTCCTCCCTGTGGGTCCCCCTCCCCACTGTCTTGATCCCATGGCATTTCCCCAGTGCCTCCTGGAAGCCGGAAATTGGTTCCCTGATCGCAGAATTGGCCCATCTTGAATTGAATGAATAAAGTTTGCTAGTTCAGCTTAATTGTTACTGCATAATTTAATGTAACTTTTACCACATAATCAAGGGCCATTTTTACAGGGAGGTTATAAAAAAGCAATTTAAATAACACTGTAGTCACTGGTTACTGAGGAGAAAGAGATGGTGATCTGAAATGGGACACTACAGTAATAACAAGTTATTTTAGAAACAGATTGTTTTCTAGATTTATAACTAATGTTAACATGTTAATTGTCTAAATAATGCTTTGAGTTCTGGCCATGGCTCTTTCCCCAAAGACTTCATCCTTCATATCCTCACACGCTTATGTCCCATGCCTAGGGGAAGTAAAGGCACCCTTATTTTCTGCTTTGTCCGGACCACATCTGGAATTCGGGGTCCAGTTCTGGGCAGCTTAAGAAGGATATCCAAAAGCTGGAATGAGCCCAGAGGAGGGCGAGCAAGTTGGTAAAGGGTCTGAAAACTGAGCCCTGTGAGGAATGGTTGAAGGAACTGGGTATGATTTACTTGGGAAAACAGATGATGGAGAGCCATCTCCAATACCTGATGGAAGATGGAGCAAGCTTGTTTTCTCCTGCTTCAGAGGTTAGGAGCTGAATCAAAGGATTCAATCATAAGCAGGAGAATGTGAAAAACAATTGCTATTCAGTGATGGCCTGGATCAGGGGCTCTCCTTTTCTGGAGGGTTTTCAACAGTTATTGGCCAGTGCTTCCGCTGTGGGTTTCCTGCACTGGCAAAGGG